AGACTGGCCCATGTTGAGCCAATTTTTGATTGGCTGGATACGGAATGGCGCAGCCAATCTGTGACTAGTAATACACTAGTTTTCATACTCTGATTGGTTATGCAAAAGTATGTGTCTCGGCCTACACACTTACACATTTAACAAAGTAAGACTTTATGTCCGCCATTTTCTATCCAACTAGAAAGCTGGCCAGTCTCTTATTATAGTCTCTATGGTAAACGAAGAACAATAGAAGTTTGTAACCCCTGATGCAAATAAGCCATCTTATTGGTTCCGCCATTTTTCAGCACCAATAGGATTTATGACGAGATGGCCAGACTCTTAGCTAGGGACTCTAGTCCCTGCCAGAAAAATTTCCGCATGACTTGGGTTAAATCACGTGTTGCAGTTGGCAGCGCTGCGGCCTAACCTGTCAGAACCGAAGCAGCGGATCCGTGGTCGTAATTTTTTGAGCACATACGTTGGGTTTGCTCCGGTTGTATCGCCGCGCTGGTTGTCGCACGGGACGGATCGTACAGGCTCTCGGACGGATAGTCCCGGCGAGAAATTTCCTGTAAGGAAAGGCAGTTAACATCGATACCGTCCATTACCGAGACGTTTGCGAGAACAAAGCGGGCCAGCACCGCGCGTTTTCAACACGAGAGTTGTCCCTCGACCGTTGTTATCCTGTTATGTGGTGGTGAACGTCGACAGGTGAGTGCACGTTTTTCTTCGTGTCCGTCCTATTCACGATGACGCCTTTGTCCCCTCCGATGCCTTCGTTTTTAACCTCGAGAACAAAAAAAAATAGGGTGCTCAATGAGAACGCGAATAGGCCTCTATTTCGACATCTCTCTTTCTCCTCCTCTTTTTGTCATGTTCGCTCTTTCTCGAAGTGTGTGTGTGTGTGTGTGTTGTGTGGTTGGTGTGTGTGGTGTGTGCGCGCGCGCGCGCTTGCGTGATGAGATGTATGTATGTATGTGTGTGTGCGTGTGGTGTGTGTGTGTGTGTGTGTGTGTCTATCTTAGTCTCTCCAAAGGAATGAGTCGTGCATCACATAATGTAACGGAATATCCATCGTCGATTAACCTTTCCCTTTCACAAAGCTTCTTTCCCAGGAATTTTAAATTTGATTCGACAAAATTCCGTTTTAACTTGGGATAACGCTCAACTACCTGATTTCTTTCTCTTTTTATCTCGAAATAAAGGATATTCCATAGAAATAATTCGCAAATAATATAACTGCCCTTTTTTTTGTCCTTATCTGTTCATACAATAAGTTTGTTCTCGGTAGCTGAACTATTGTGCTAAACTCGTGCTAAGATAAAATAGATATATTTGAAGTTTTAGTGAAAGCGGTAGGAGATGAAAAGTTTTAGTGTAGTCCAGTTCAGTTACAAGAAAATAGGCTTAATTTGATGCAAAGAAAGTAATCTCTTCCTTCAGTTTATATTTTATTGTAATTTATATTTTTAATCGTAACATGTGTAACACATGTATAGAGTATACATATACTTATATGAGAGATACATTAGAGATTGAGGATTTCGAATTGAAAATTAGAATTCAACCAATCGGACCAAAATAGAAAAAAAATTCAACTCATTCAATTGATCAAAATTCTAATCGTTGGTTCATAATTCTCAATTTCCAATGCTTATGTCTGACACAGACTTTAGAAGAGAGAGATATCCAATGTAAAGTTTACATTTATTCCTACAGAAATTATAGTAGCATATAGTAGCGGTGACGCTCACTCGACAAGCATATAGGAACAGGATGTCGGGGCACAGAGGCGGCGGAGGGGCTGGAAGTCATCAAGGTGGTCCCCCAGGCCTCAAGCAGATCGATCTGGATCAAATTTGGGGAGACTTGCGCGAGGGCATAGAGCAAGTCTACAATAGGCAGTGCATGTCGAAGCCGAGATACATAGAGCTATACACGTATCCTTTATATCGTGGGAAGATATAATACCTCTTCGTTTTTTTCCTTTTTTTTCTTCTCTCTCTTTCTCTCTCTCTCTCTCTCTCTCTCTCTCGTGTAAACTGATATGTCTGTAATGTATTTTCCTACTACAAAACATTTCTGCAGACATGTATATAATTATTGTACAAGCGTTCACCAGCAACTTACCAGAACGTCAACTAAAAGTAAAAAAGGACAAATTCAACAAGGTGGTGCGCAGTTAGTGGGTTTGGAACTGTACAAACGTCTGCGTGATTTTCTTAGGAGTTATCTTATTAACTTACTCAGGGTAAATATACACGAAAATTATGCTTTTGTTCCCAAGAGACTTTTAAACAAGTGTTTGCAACATATATTGTAACGTATTGTCCAGCATGGCATTGACCTGATGGACGAGGATGTGCTGCAGTTCTATACAAGACAATGGGAGGAATATCAATTCAGTAGTAAAGTTTTAAATGGCGTGTGTGCGTATCTCAATCGCCATTGGGTACGGAGAGAGTGCGAGGAAGGCCGCAAAGGAATTTACGAAATTTATCAATTAGCTCTGGTTACTTGGCGAGATAATTTATTTAAACAATTAAATAAACCGGTAAAATAATATTCTAGTGAAGTGTCAACTATGTATTTGTCATGCATGTAATAAAATCTGTGCTTTCCTCTAGGTTACCAACGCGGTGCTCAAATTAATCGAGCGGGAACGTAATGGCGAAACGATAAATACTCGATTAGTCAGCGGTGTCATCAATTGTTACGTAGAATTGGGTTTGAATGAGGAAGACCCAGGTGCAAAGGGACAAAATCTAACGGTGTATAAAGATTCATTTGAAAATGTCTTTCTCGAGGATACGGAACGATTCTATACTCATGAGAGTTCAGAGTTTCTTAGACAAAATCCCGTAACGGAATATATGAAAAAGGTAAAGTATACAAAGAACATAACTTTATATATCAAAGTATACAAAGAATGTATTTTACTCCCTTTTTTGCGTTCTTTCCATGTAGGCGGAGCAGAGATTATTGGAGGAACAGAAGCGAGTGCGTGTTTACTTACATCAAACGACCCACGAGCGATTGGCGAAAACGTGCGAGAAGGTACTTATCGAGAAGCATATGGACATATTCCATGCTGAATTTCAGAATCTTCTGGATGCTGATAAGAATACAGATTTGGGTAGAATGTATCAGCTAGTAGCGAGAATACCAAATGGTCTTGGGGAGTTGAGAAACCTTTTAGAAAGTCATATTGCCAACCAAGGTCTCGCAGCTATAGATAAGTGCGGAGACTCGGCAGCTAATGTACGTTTTTTTTCTTATTTAATATAACTATGTTATACATGAGATATCACACGAATTGACCAATTCTTATCACTTACAGGATCCGAAAATTTATGTGAACACAATCTTGGAGGTGCATAAAAAGTATAACGCTTTAGTGCTGGTTGCATTTAATAATGATAGTGGCTTTGTCGCTGCTCTGGACAAGGCTTGCGGGCGGTTTATCAACAGCAATTCTGTCACAAGGGCAGCAAACAGCAGCAGTAAGTCACCTGAACTGTTAGCTAAATATTGCGATCTGCTGCTGAAAAAGAGTAGTAAAAATCCGGAAGAGGCAGAACTTGAAGATACTCTTAATCAAGTTGTAAGTATACTTGATAAATTTCTTTATTTCTTCGCTCGAATTCTCTCGCGAAGAAATCTGCGTTAATTACATTTATTTTTTTTTCACAGATGGTAGTGTTTAAATATATTGAAGACAAGGATGTGTTTCAAAAGTTCTATAGCAAGATGCTAGCGAAACGATTGGTGCAACATATGTCTGCTAGCGACGACGCAGAGGCTTCCATGATCTCTAAACTAAAACAAGCTTGTGGATTTGAATATACTTCAAAGTTACAACGCATGTTTCAGGTAATATAACGTACTTTTTCTTAATTATATATGGATATTGTAAAAAATTAATACACATCAACATCCGTGTCGGCTCGATAGGCATTACTTCAGTATATAAGTGATTTATTCTTACGAGCCTAAGTCCTTCAAATTATATACATATATACAGGGTGTCCCCGTAAGTGGCCATCTCTTTTTATCTCGTAAACTAACAGAGATAGACCTAAATAAATATAATATCAAATTAAACGGCTCTGACTAAACTTTATTGCACAGTGATTACTTAGAAACATTATCTATGTTAGAGAGCGGAGAAACATGCGTAATTTTTGCAAGGTGTATTTTTGTAAAGTGACAACTTTAATAGATAAAAGTTGTAGCGTTTTTTTTAACGAATACAATGATGTGTGATATAACAACATTATCTTACAAATTATACAAATTATTTTGATTTAAAGTTTTACGGGCGACTATTATCTTTTCAGTTTCGGCCCTGTGGTGTGGCTAATTTCCGACTTTCGCGTTGACGATTGACGTGTAATGCTCTCATCTGATCATAGTACTCTCGTTAATGTCAGAGTCGGAAGTTGACCACATTGCAGGACCGAAATTAAAAAGGTAGTAATCGCCCACATAACTTTAAAAATAACTCTTATAATTTGTAAGATAATTTCGTTATATCATACATCAATGTATTCATTAAAAAGAACGCTACAACTTTTATCATATTAAAATTGTCACTTTACCGTGCAAAAATTAATCATGTCTTTCCGCCTGTCTCTTATACACATCTCTGAGCGGGCTGGCAAGGCAGA